TTATCTCAGCGTAGGGCATCGTAGGGACAAGCGGTTTGTTTTATATTAGCAAGGTAAGAGAGCTGATCAATAATACCGCAAAGAATCGTCAAAACAAAACGGGCAAAGTTTTTTAATTCGACTAATACTGCAACATGGTTTCAGCATTTCACCGTTTTACTCTCCTTCTTCATGCGGCGTTCACACAGTGCCGATTATGGCTCCCGTTTGAGATCAGACAGCGCTACGACACGAAAAGTGAAAAAGTCGGATTACTATCCTCAATGATCTGGAATGTCCTAACGTTCGTAACAGAGTCCTACGGGTTGGGAATGGTCCGGAGAGGTCGGCCAAGCACTCCCGACAATTAGGTGCGTCCCGTTAGGTGCGTGTACTCGCGTGTACGTGCGTGTATCTGCGTGTACGTGCGTGTACCCGCGTGTACGTGCGTGTATCTCCGTGTACCCGCGTGTACGTGCGTGCACGTGCGTGTACCCGCGTGTACGTGCGTGTATCTGTGTGTACGTGCGTGTACCCGCGTGTACGTGCGTGTACGTGCGTGTACTACCCGCGTGTACGTGCGTGTACGTACGTGTACGTGCGTGTACCCGCGTGTACGTGCGTGTACCCACGTGTACGTGCGTGTATCTGCGTGTACGTGCGTGTACCCGCGTGTACGTGCGTGTACCCGCGTGTACGTGCGTGTACGTGCGTGTACCGCAGTGCAACCGCGCTGCAACCGCAAGTTAAGATCACGTGACTCGCTTGACCTGCTGCTATTGGTCGGTTACATAGAGCCGGTGTGGAACTTTACACAGCCATTCCGCAGACGCTGTGCAATCTGCCACACGTGGAAAAAAATATCAAACACGTGTGATATTTTCCACACGCAAGAAATCGATGCGTTTGCATGCACCAACGCTGTGTTTTGTGCTGCGCCATCAGCCACGCGTGGCCAATAGCGTGTGCGGCGGGCTTAACATTCGGGAAACTCAGCCGATTTTGTCTAGTCGGATTGCAATCGTGACTATGTCGTGACAGATTCTGCTGTATCGGATCAAAATCGTAACAATGTCCTGTGTTGTCTGGACAGTGTCCTGTGGATCGGGACGCTGTCGTGATGAACGGGCATAATCTGGAGAAAATTTTCATTGCCGTTTCTTGCCGATTGAGTCCAGATTGCGTCCAGATCTAAAGGATGTCTTCCGTCAGCGTCGGTTCACTGTCGGGTCACTGTCTGATCTCTGTCGGATCGCATTCGGGAGAATCGGGACGCTGTCGGGACAGATTTGGTCGTTTTTTACCATGCGAATGATACAAATCGGATCAGATCATCAGAATCGGATTGAGAACTGGACAATCGAGACGAATTCGGCTGGAAACGGCTGAATCGGGACGCTTCCTAGAACAAGATCTGATTGTTGTCAACTTGTCGTAATTAAATAAATGTTTTTACAAATTTTTAATAAAGTTTGAATTTCCCGCCACGAATCACAGGATCTTGATCAGACTTTTGACAAATTTTAATCGGAAATGGTCCTATCAAGGGCGGCAGTAAAAATCCTGAATGTGTGACTGAGCCTTAATACGCTCTTGATATATATATACATCTAATACATATTAATTTTGTGAATGTATGTCTGTTTGTTTATCTGTTCTCAATGCAAATCAATATGGAGCACTATAGATAGATAGATAAATAGATAGATAGATAGATTAGTAGATAGATATGTAATAGTAGATAGATAGATAATAGATAGCATAGACTAGTGGATAATAGATAGATAGTAGATAGATAATAGATAGATACATAGTAGCTATAGATTAGATAGATTAGATTAGTAAGAAAATAGATAGATAGATAGATGTAGGATAGATAGATAGATAGATAGATAGATAGATAGATAGATAGATAGATAGATAGATAGATATGAATATGATGATAATGATAGTAGATAGTAGATAGATAGAAGACATATAGTATGATCGATTTTTATTTTTATTTTTCTTGTTAACCAGTGGTTCACACCTCAGTAGTTTGATTTCCGTGGCAACGGGCGGTATCTTGTGCTAGTATTATTTATATATTACTTACTATTATACAACTTCCACTTTAATAAGCGCCAGCGTTCCTGCTAGCAGTCTGTGTTATACGACATAGGTCTCATGGCTGGCCGTGTCGTTGTGCCGTTTTTTGCCTAAATACAGCTATGATCTAGAGACGGGTCCCGCCTCGGGAATTTCGTTTTGCAGTTGATGATAGTTAGTGATTTATAAGATTTTCCGCATTAGAGATGATGAGCGAGCGAAAATTAATGCAATTTTATCATTGGATTCTGTAAAAAAAAAAAATAATATGTGCCGCGAAAACGAGCAGAGGCTCGGACGTAAGAGAAACAAGAATTCTGGTATATACTTAGTTATATATTATTATTATTAATTATATGTGAGAGAGAAATAGAGAGAGGGGAGAGTAGTGGTTACAGATGTAGGAACCTGGAAACTAAGGGAAGGGAAATGTTTGTACACTTTTCTTTGTTGTGTCCGTGTGTAAGTTTAGCAGTTCAGAAATTACCACTTATTTAGCCAATAGATGGCGCGCTAGTATGAACAGTAGCAGCGAAGCGAAATATATTCCGCATGTGTCATATTTACCCTCCGCTGTAGCCTGTAGGTCAGAATTACCAGCAAATGGAGTGCACCATAGTGCATCATAGTGCACAGATATGGCATCGGTATGGGAATGACAGATGATGAGTTAGCTTCGCACGTGGAGAAGTCTAATCGATCGAAGCGCACAGAGAAGAGCATGACTATGAGTCATGCTAGTACCGGGTAGGCCTACTGCTGCCACACTGATGTGCATGTGGTAATCGAGCTAGCACTTTTATGTGTGTCATTTCTATTCTATCACAGTTCTGTATAATGTGATTTTTATGTACAATCACAGTGTATTGTATGATGTGATGACGTAGCAGCCAATATTATAATCGGATAGCAGTAACACAAAGAAGATATAAGGGTAATTGTCCTCGTGGTCAAACATTTTGATTGTGCATGTGTTGCATCTTACCAGTGCATGTGCAGTGCATGTGTTATCTTACCAGTATGGCACTAGACCACAGGCACTTGGGCTGAGAGGGTCTATGTCCCCCAGGTTACTACCGGAAATTACCCTGGGTACGGTCCGGTATACCGGAACGTACCCTGGTACTATCTAATATGCCGGACCGTACCTCGCTTACTCCACTAACGAGTCTAGTGAGTCGCCTACCCCTACTCCCTAACCCTAACCCTAAGTTAACCCTATCAGATATTTACTAGGGTACGTTCCGGTGTACCGGACCGTATCCAGGTTACGTTCCGGCAGTACCCTGGGGGACATAGACCCTATGAGCGGCACTTGGAACGTTTCAATAATAAAATGATGGTAAATAAACACGAAATGTATTAACTATCGAAGTCTCAATGTTTATTTATTCTCTATCAGCTAATAATTCCACGTAAATGCCATTCAAATGCTCCTCTGCAACACACAATTTCACCGCACACACGCTGGTTTGCACAAACAACAGAAATATCGTTTCTGTTGTTTGTGCACAGCGGCGTGCGTGCGGTGAAATTGTATGATGCAGGGGAGCATTCGAATGGCATTTTCAGGAAATTTTTACTAATAATATAGGTGAAAGAGAGTAGAGAAACATTGAGACTTCTTTAGTAAATACATTTCGTGATTATTTTACATGATTTTATTATAGACACATTCTAAATGCTTGTGCACTATACTATAGCCACAAGGTTCCTTCTCGCTTCTCACTACGGCAGTACATGGCATGAAGTGGTGCGAACAGTCATAGAGCCTGGTGGGGCTGGCATTAGGCCAGCATCACTTTTATCGCATTAGGCTATTAGCCAACACAAATTGTATTTACTCTCAAAGTCTTAGGTACTCTTTATTGCCTATTATTTCATGTGAATGTTGTTCAAAATTTGAAACAAATCGAATGCTCTTCTGCAAGACACACTCTCAGTGCACGCACGTCACTGTATAAACTCACATAAGTATGACCCACTGTGTGTATTTTGCAGCGACTGAATTTTCACACAGTAGTACACGGGCCGTGAGATTGTACATTGCAGAGAAGCATAAATTTGACAAGCCTGATAAGCTTCCATTGACAAATGTTTTATTAACATCTTACCTACATCACAAAACATTTGCCACGCATTATCAGCTTCTTAAATGCATTTTATCACCTTTATCTTGTAAAAATATAGCAACACCAAACGTTCCAAATTTCGTCAAAACAAAGATTGCATTCTTGCTTTCAACGCGTTGACTAGCGATTATTTTGTTTGTATGTTGGTGGAAACACAGGACCATCACAAGAGACAACAAACATTACAAGTTTTACCATTTCTGTTCTGACTAAGTTTTGAACAATTGGTGTCATGATATTTTTACAAGATAAAAGGTGATAAAGATAGATATTTCCTAAAATTTTAATGTTACTTGGTCAAAAAATGTAAAAAGCTGTCGTACAAAAATTTGCCACATTTGTCTATAGAAGCCTATTGGGCCCTAGAATAGCCCACGATTATAAAAAATTATAGGGCACAATTTATAAGTATAAATTATCTATATTATATATAGAGATGGTACCAGTCGATATGTAGCGTAACAGTCTAATGACAACAGACGAATTTTACCCAAAATTATGACCGTAAATGGCCCAATGTGCAATTCTAGTATTTTCAGTTGAAGTTGAGCCAAAATGATTTAACGTTTAACATTTAATTGCAAAAACATTAATGATAGAGAATGGCAATGAATGCTCACAAGTACAATTACCGGTGAGTCTTTGTAAGTAGTATATTAAAATAATCTAAATGTTTAACATGCGAATTGTACCGAATTAACTGAGGTTGCCTATCTCTATGAGTATCTCTATTGATCTGTTAACCATATTTGTTACTGTCACTGATCAGTCTTGGTAATAAGTTTGAAAACTCGGCTTGTCCTGATTTGGGAAATATTTTTTTACTTTTACCATATAACCCATATATTATAATCTACAAAAATAAAAATCACCCCAGATAATCATATCATAGATATCACTTTCGGAGAACTTAATCAACATTACAGTGTACATATTTGCATTCTCACTTGTCACTTGATAGAAGAAGTTGAAGGTTCATAATTTCCGGATTTAAACCGTCGTCATAAATTCCCTTCAGGTAGGTTATGGATGCTTAATCAAAAGTGAGAATATGCAAAAAAAATCCATACAAATGATTTATTTTCCCTATTGTACTTTAAGCATGTCAGCATGACTGGAGTATGATGATTGCTCAAATACTTTTTTATGCATATAAGTGCTTAAAAGCCAGACACAGACAACATACTTTTCTTGTGATATGGCAGAAATATTTGTCTCCCAGCAACGATTACTGAGATCCATCATGTTTAAAGGGAGAGTTTACTCTAGGTTCTAGGGTTATTTTCAGCTAATTTAGGTTATAATTACGCTACATAAAAAGTTTCATGGTTCATTCACCATTAGAAATATTATTAAAAAATGTTTTAAAACTAACGACTATAGTTTGATTACAACGACGGTGGCGCCACTCAAAGCGCACGATCTGATAAGTTGCGCAAAACCACTTTCCAGCCAAGGGCTACAGACCGAGGGTGTTTCTTATTTATTCATTTAAAAGCAAAAGGATTGTAATATCTTCTAAACGACATATAGTTTCAGTTATAATATGGATAAATTTTTTGCCCTAAAATGAATATCGTTTGGTTAAATAGCATTTAGGTATAAATATAATTGCACTTTTGTGATTAGCCCTCGGTCTGTAACCTGCAAAATAAATTGTCAAATACGCAACTTTTTCGGGGTGGCAGAACGGTCGCGGGTGTCATGGCGTTGTTCAAATTTCGTAGCGTTGATGTATAAATAATTATAACAATTAAATTGGGTATCTGGTAACAATAGTGTGGGTATAGACGATTTGTTATACAGTAAGTACAGTTGTATGCAGTAAAATCCTAGAAGCTACTGTCCCTTTAATTACCTCAGCGCAACGGAGTTGCAGGGAGGTAATGTGATGCCTCTCGTGTGTGTGTTCGTGTGTGTGTGTAGCCAGCAGCGAGCCAGCAGCGATCGATTCAGCACCAGCTCGTCTTAGGGCGTCGAGTCAGCAGCAGCTCGCTCGCTTGCGCGCAACAAATCAATATTTCAGCGATCTACTACTACAAGCTAGAACTACTAGAAACTGCAACTAAAACTGAAACTAGAGTCAGCGAGCGGGCGGCGCGATCGATAGCGCGTCGAGTCAGCGAGTGGCGAGTCAGCAGCAGCCACCAGTGAGCGGCGAGGCAGCAGCAGGCGAGTCAGTCAGCAGCCGCCACCAGCGAGCACATACATGTTACATGCTCGCGGAGGTATGCACTCTCCGTGAGTGCCCTCTGTCTAGTATTCAAGACAAATGCTTCGTCTCAAGGTCAGAGTCGGCTGTGTGGATTACGCGCAGATCAAGACTGAAAACATGTGGCGCCACATTGATCAATCAGCGTGCCCCTAATGATCACGTGATTGTCTAAATATCCAAGAAGACCAATGTCTGCTGTGTGCGTTGAATGAAGATAAAAAAGGCAAATGTTTCTGTCGTATTTCAACAGCTGTCTGTTGTGTGCACTGAACCGAAACAAAAACAATAGAGAGACGAATAAAACAAATGTTTTTGCCGTCTCACGAAAATGGGGGTGTTGCTGCTGTGTGCATTCGTCTCCTTAGATGCTAGAATTAGACACAGAAGAAGTTATCATAATAATGTATGTACCTTCTAGAGCCTATATTCGTACTATATGCAGGCGCATGACTTGATAAAAACACGATGATGTTATGTTTTCAGACATTTTCTACACATTTAAGATGCTAAAGTGCATCGACAAGAATAACAATACCGTATAATCATAGAATGAGTAACCACAGACCAAGGGTGTTATGACTATGAGGTTGGCTTGGCTCGGAAAGCATTTACATAAAAATGGCAAGACAACTAATGAACTATGCAATTCTTTTAGATACGAGAACAATATTATGTTGCAGCATTGGTAGAGAAGTGAGAACACATCATTCCTTATTCCAGCTAAACTTCAACACATCAATCATGTACCATGCTCCAAAACATGATTGCGTACATTCACTGCAGTCTTGTTTTGAGATTTTGAGCTTTTTGTTTGCCTCATTATTTTGTGAAATTTCGAAAATCATGTCCTCGCGCAAGTAATAATAGTAACATGAAAACCACAAAAAGTCATAGTTAATAGGGTATAGGGTACATAAACAAACATTTTCGTAATATTTATTTAGTTACACTTGAAAAGTCTAAGCAAACTCAATGGTAAATGGGTTTTATTAAATGTCAGTTGTTTTTATCATGCTGCACTTCATATATATGTTCTTTAGTCAAAGCTATAATTCTGCAGCTAGGTCGCAGCAGCTGTCGCAGCAGCAGCAGCAGCATCAGCAGCATCAGCAGCAACAGCAGCAACAGCAGCAGCAGTAACGGTTACATAAGCACTTTCACCCTTGCACGATGCATATATGTGTATATAACAGCATGTGTATGCATTATATATATATAAGTAGTAGATGATTGCATGCTATTTTGTTCTGGCTGTCTGTGTGTGTGGGCGCGTGCGTGCGTGCGTGCGTGCGTGCGTGCGTGCGTGCGTGCGTGTGTGTGCATGTGTGCGTGTATGTTTATCCCCCTTGGTGTCTGATTGTAGTTAAATGTATAGCTAAATAAACTCATGCTTGGTATCTCTATACACCTATTGTTTTTTCTGTTATTCCTGTTTTATTGTTAATTCCAGTTTTATGTAATGTTTACGGTAAAGGGAGTGTATATATTTACTGTAGGCTCTGGTATAAACAATAATTTACCTTTCAACTAAAAAAACCTTTCTACAAAGCTAGTATATGTTTCCATCGTAGACATATACAATTAAACAGCGTTTTATAATACCACTCACCCAGAAGCTTGTAGTAGTACTGTACTTAATAAACACAACTCATTAAATTTGTATTCAGGCCACATTGAAATAGTTTCTGATTTGCACCACCCTACCCTTCCTACGCAAATATGTTCCGACTGGTTTCGAGAGTGTTTATCATTGTTGCGTGACGTCTAGTCTTTTGGCCAGCCGTAGATGTTACACATACTAAACCGCAACGAATCTTTCCATTCAGTTAGTTTAACTGAGTATTGTAAGAGTGGTCGTAGTCGAATGTCTAAGTCAACATGTTTAGCAAGCAAATAAAAGGTGTGACGCATTTGCACACAAAGCTCTCATTTTCCAAGTGGAAGATTAAAGCAGTATTGCCCTCGACAGCGAGATTTGTTCGTTCCAATATATCTTGATGGAAAGGGCCTATACAGCGTTGATATTTCGGATAGAGCGTTTTAGAGGAAACGGATGAGTAAACTCAATACATCCTTTCATGGCCATATAGTGATAAAAAGTGTATGCGGTTCATTCAGACGGCGAAGGCCATACACACACACACACACACACACGCGCGCGCGCGTGATCTCACGCACGCACGCGCGCGCGCACACGCGTATATTAGATTAAATATATAGCGCGCAGCGTGCGCAGAGTATTATATATATAGTTGTAACAGCGCTATAAAATTCCCATAAATCTATAGTAAGCGTGATTTATGGAACTATACGTGCATGCGTACTATGGGCAAAGTATATAAATAACACGTGATCGACTCGTGTTATACAGACGTGTTCTATACGGAACCGGTCGCTGATTAATATGCTTGTGATCGCGTACGCGGCAGGTATGCGTACGTCTACCGGCACTTATCTCGCGTTTAAATAAATAAATGCAATATAGGGTAGGCATATATTGGCCTACGGGGTCAGTGAAAGTGTAAGGTCAAACCTCCGTAAGGCCATGATAAAAAATATTGTTTGTTTGCCCTCACCCTACCGCCCCGCCAAAAAGGGACCGACTAAAAAAAAATTATGGATCTTTCCCATTCTTTTTTTTACAAATTGTATCACTGTCTATATATATAAAGTAGTTCAGCCGAATTAGTCCGTACTCGCATAACTAGAGAACTCCGCAGCCTAGAGGAAAATCTATATATATAAAGTAGTTCAGCCGAATTAGTCCGTACTCGCATAACTAGAGAACTCCGCAGCCTAGAGGAAAACTAAAGATATTTTCAGAATTGCTGAAGGGTTCTGATACAAACCAGAACTTATTTTCCTCTTGTTTCCTTTTTTCCCTTTACCTACTTCTTTAGTATGTATTATTTTTAATTTATTTTTAATTTATTAATTTATTTAATTTATTATTTATTTAATTTAGTAATTATTTTTGTTTTTAATGTCTTTTATCTTTTGATTTCTTATTATTTTTTACTGTTTGGGATGGGATGGCATGCGATGGCATGGGATGGGATGGCATGGCATGGCATGGCATGCGGTGCGATGGGATAAGGCAATACATTATATCAGGAGTAGATAATAGAAGATTAATAAATCTTCTATTATCTAATAATCTTCTTCTATTAACAAATAAGAATAATAATAAGAATAATCTTCTTCTATCTTCTAATTAATAATATTCTAGTATCTACTCCTGATTATACCAAGAGCTAATAAATATGTGTGGTATATAGGTGTTTATTAGCTCTTGATTATATGTACCAAGCAAAACAAACATTCAACATAAAAGCTATCTCCACACAAGCACACCCGAGCATGTAGACACCATGCTGAATTTGTAAAACGACCCCCCTCAAAAAAATTCTACCTACACTTTACCTAGCCAACTTTTCAGCATGGGTCGGGTGACGGCAAACAAAGATTCTTTCAATTGTGGCCTAACCTCGTGTCGTACGTACGCTGCTGTTGAATGCGTCGTGTTACAGGTGGTTCAGTGGCTAGGTCCAGGGGAGCTGGGAGTTGATCTCGCTTGTCAGCGTAACATGATCGTCAGCCGAAGGAGAACGCAGATGATGCATGCATGCTGTGGGAAGTGAAGACAACCGGTGATGCAAGTAGTGATACAAGCCTGTGCTACAAGACAGTGGTACGCACAGGCACTTGGAACGTCTCAATAAAATACAAAAATATAAACACGAAATGTATTTACTACCAAAGTCTTATTGTTTCTCTACACAGCGCGGTCGTGCGGTGTACTTGTATGTTGCAGATGAGCATTTGACTGGCATTTACAGGTGATTATAGGCGAAATAGAGTAGAGAAACATTAAGACTTTGGTAGTAAATACATTTCGTGTTTACATTTTTGCATTTTATTGAGACGTTCCAAGTGCCTGTGGTGGTACACGCGTAAGCTGACACCGCTCTATGTGTGCAAGCATCAGGAAGACACATCTGACGTAAGTGTTCTAATTATGTGTGTTTACGTGCACGGCATGATGACAATGGCTGTAATCGTATATACTTAGTTGGTTTCAGAACCAAGGATAACGCCGTGAGTACATGCAGGCTTGTGTAATTCTGTAAACACGCTTCTTGTAAACATGCTTCTGCTTCTGCTAGTAACGAATTCAACTAGGGTTGTTTTGTGTGAAAATTAAACGTCGGGAATGTAACTGGCACGCAGACATAAACACGCGGAGCAAAAAATGATGAGATTGGCTTGCGCTAGAAATGCAGAGCTATGTATGGAAGGTTATGCATGAGCTTGCACGAAGAGTGCAGAAGTGTTACGCATCGCTGATTTTGACTAAAAGAAGCTTGCAGCTTAGATCACATGCCCTCGAGTAATTTGAGTTAATACGGGGGTGGATTTGTGCATAACTAGCAAGGGCCATTTTTCCCGCAGAGGTGAAGTGACTGAAGAAGCTGGAACTGATATTCCATGTATATAAAATAAGCAAGGAATCACGAAAGCGACGAGCCTTGTGAATACGCGATCGTTATTTTAGCCTTAGACTTCCCATACACTATGCTCCTTACTATCACGAGTGAATAAACACACGATTTGCTTTCATGCACTCCTCATACTACCTATATTCGCGCACGATATTTTCCATTCCCTGTTCCTCTAATTCCGTCTACAGACGAGTAGTAGTCCACAGGAGGTCCTGGGACATATTCAAACATGCCCGCAGAAATACACCAGGATGTTGACATTCACAATGTCATCGGTTTAGATGTAAAGCTTTCGCTGTCGTCACATCTATTTGTCACATATAAATTGGCGATGTAAGTTCTACGCTTCTAAGCCCGAAGTATATATATTATCCGAAGTAAATATATCCTCCTCGTACATAGCGTATTCGACGAGACATCGTAATCCATGGTGATAACAAGTAATCAAGTAATCAAAGTGATAACATCCAGAGCGCATAAACATGCGCATAACTCAAAGCACGTAAACATAGTACGTGACCTAGAGCACATAAACGTAGGGGGGTTATGTGACATTGACAGGACGTAGGCGAGTGTGGTTTGTGTGCATACCGTGTACTATCTATACTGTGTAAGCATGCGCCCACATAGAGTATAGTTCTTCGAGATTTTCATTTCAGAATAATAACACATCAACGTTTGAGCGAATGTAAATTAATCAGGGCCGTAGCCTGCGGGGGGGGCAAGGGGGCAGCTGCCCCCCTAGATTTTTAAGATTAAAAAAAAGTTCTACTGAAAGAGAATTGTCGTAGTCAGAATGAAGGCTGTACATGTACTCAAAAGTGCCTCAAATGCCATCTCCTGCGATCTACATGTTCAAAATTTTCTGTGGGAGGACCCCCACACCCCCACATGTTTCTCACCCCTCCTTGAAATCCTGGATCCGCCACTGCCCCCTCCCCCCCCCTAGGGATTTGCTCAGCCTACGGCCTTGTCAATGCAATGAACGAATGCGAATGAATGGCATCATCACGTAGCAGCGAGCGAGACGCGGTTGAAACTCACCAACTCAAATTTACTAGTGTACTAATCGAGTGTACGCGTGCCCAGTGAAAAGCTCATCGGTTTTTGACGTCTTGTGATAGTTCCTTTATTCACATGGCGTTATATATGTATATAATATATATTTATATAGTATATATATATATATATATATATTATATATATATATATGCCGGCGTCAATATATATGAATTATGTAGTTATAATAATCACATGTATTTATTCACATTGTAAGACTTAACAAAATTAAAAACATGAATTATTTAAATGAAGTTGGCCACCGACGTTAACGATGTAATAGAATATTCGCTTTATTATAATGCATTGTCGACGCTATACAAGGTGCAGAGTGGCGCGTCTGTCTGTCTGTCTGTCTCTCTTTCTCTCTTTCTTACTCTCTCTCTCTCTCTCGCTCTCTCTCTCTCTCTCTCTCCTCTCTGTCTCTCTCTCTTCTCTCTCTCTCTCTCTCTCTCCTTCTCTTCTCTCTCTCTCTCTCTCTCTCTCTCTCTCTCTCTCTCTCCGCTTTGCGGCGTGCGCTCTCTCCTCTCTCTCGTTCTCCATCCCTCCCTCCCTCTCTCTCTCTCTCTCTCTCTCTCTCTCTCTCTCTCTCTCTCTCTCTCTCTCTCTCTCTCTCTCTCCTCTCTCTCTCTCTCGCTCTCTCTCTCTCTTCTCTCTCTTCTCTCTCTCTTCTCTCTCTCGCTATACTATCTATCTATCTATCTATCTATCTATCTTCTATCTATCTATCCATCTCTCTCTCTCTCTCTCTCTCTCTCTCTCTCTCTCTCTCTCTCTCTCTCTCTTTATCTCTCGCTCTCTATCTCTCTCTCGCTCTCTCTATCATTGTCTACTCCTTTCTCTTGCACACACACTCTTCTAGGCCTGCACCGTCGTTTTCTTCATGTTAGGATGTTCGACAGACAGCTAAGCGATTACGTCATCCGTCTGCTTGCTCATTATTGACTAATATAATGGGTTTGTGTTATAGCTTCTCTCGTGATTAGGTTCCAGTATTGTATACGGTTAGATATCAGTCCTTGTCGAGCACGTCAACAATACCAACTAATCATTATGTATATGATAGACGTAGATAGACGCTATGACATATATGATTTACGCTGTGATAAATGAGCGAATCCACAAGCATTGACTATTAAAATGAGACGATAGCGACATCAAAAAGAGTACTCTGATATGTACTGATAACAAAGTACACGATGTGGTGAGACTCTTTCTCTCTCGGCCTCCCTCAAGCTTATCTTCATGCAGACCACTTCCCCCATCTCTCTCTTTCTTTCATTCCTTCCCCCCTCTCTCTCTCTCTCTCTCTCTCGCTCTCGCTCTTTCTCTCTCTCTCTCTCTCTCTCTCTCTTTATCTCGCTAAGCCTGCCCGAGTATTTATGTTCATGTCAGAAAATATCAGCGGTGTAAGAGTGTTGGGTACAGTAAGAGACGTGGGTGCAGATTAAGCCATAAGACTGCGTCGCCACACAAGACTGCCTCACTACGCGATATGTGTGATTGCTTCAACATTTACTGTCCGCGGTAACAATAGCTTGCGCCTAATCAAAAACCGATTTTATTGACATTTTCGGGCAGTAAGCCGAGTTTAAATCGTACGCAAGATCACCCACTACCTAAAAGCAATTAGATTTAGCTTCGATCGATGATAGGCAGCAGCAATTAGAAACCTGGCGACTCATGGCGTAGAATCAAGAGCGTAATATTTAATACTGCTTAATACTGCTTAATACTTAATGCATACTAAATACGCTCTTAGTAGAACGTATATTAAAGCTCGTTTCTCATATTAGTTATCGATTGTTACAGTACTAGCTATAATACGTAACGTAGATATTAGCAAGAGTTAATAATGACAAATAAATGATAATGATAATGATAAATTTGTCGTTATTAACCCCCTGATATTATAGACGTCCACGTGTGCAGGATTGGTTTTCATTGGTGTGATTATCTTCGTCGTTGATTCGTATCAAGCACATAATTGAAATGCTACGTGCTTGCGAGCGATTCGGACCTTCACCCAGTTCAGCCTGCGTACGTATAACAATAGGGCCTACCGGTTCTACTGACCTTCTGAACCGTCTCCCGCATATCTCCATATTAATCATGATCAGTAGTGAAGTCGATAGATCACCGAAACTAACTTTAGACAGCGGCAGGGTTATTCAACGCGTATTTCCTCCAGGCATCAAAAGTCTTGGGTTTGGCATCGCAGAGCGACGATTATGGTGATGCGCGCGCCCCCTCGTTGATTCGGCGTCAGCCCGTGCGCAATGTAGCATAAATAGCGGCAAATATCGAATGAGTTGCGGCAGCTTGCTTACGTATTATTTCTTTATATGCGCATTTCGTATGCGCGCGGTTCGGCTGTGAAGCGTGCACGTACGTGTGCGGTAACCAGGCAGCATCGTGTCAGTCGTGCGTGCAACGTGTACCGTTCGCACACCTCCATCCACGCTCGCTCTACGTTCGTCGTCTATTGCTAGTAGTCTGCCTATAGCTGTCACTTGCTTCGTCTCTGTATATCCTGCACTGTAGTTTTCCTGTCGAGGATCTCGGGAAGGTGAATCGAATCGAAGCTAGGCAATGGCAAGCGAGCAGTGGATATATGAAGGAGAAGGCGGTAAGTTGAAACTTTTGCCGAGCCACGCGTGGCATATTCCTCGCGTTCACTCAGCTTGCGCTATTGATGTACTCAGCTTATGATATTACTATATGTACTCAGCGATATTACTATCGGTATCGCTCAAGGTCGTGTGTGCGCCCATAGGTGCGTGCGCGCGAGCAAACGTCCCTTCTCATCCTGACAGTACAGTTTAGTGCTATAACTTATATTGAACAATAATTTATATGAGCTCAACAAATAACATAACTATACATATGTAGGTTGAACAAGCATATATTTATTGGTGTCGTATCGGCTTTAATATTATATATGTATATATGTATATATATATATATATATATATATATATATGCGCGTCAATATATATGAATTATGTAGTTATAAATAATCACATGTATTATTCACATTGTAAGACCTAACAAAATTAAAAAACATGAATTATTTAAATGAGTTGGCACCGACGTTAACGATGTAATAGAATATTCGCTTTATTATAATGTCGACGTATACAAGGTGCAGAGTGGCGCGTCTGTCTGTCTGTCTGTCTCTCTTAAGCATATATTTATTGGTGTCGTATCGGCTTTAATATTATATATGTATATATGTATATATATATATATATATATATATATATATATATATATATAATATATAATGACAACATAGATGCAACACATGGCGATGCTATTATATAAACTGAACGTGATTAACGATAGAAGGCTACGATGAGATAAAATTAATGAACATTTGGGATGGTGTAACGATTTAGGTTGTGCATTTTACTCGCACGTCTCTTATACAGTGCATGTATACACTAGCTAAAAATATCAGCTCTACGAAAAAAAACGAAATAAGAAAAACGTTTAACTAATGTTCGCGTAATTATACGTACATAGGATATAGGCGCATTACAAAAGTGTTACCGGATTTCAGAACATACGGGATAATTCGTACACCCTTATAATATATGAAAAATAGCGTTAAGCTGTACTTGAAGCATTTTCACATAACAATAATTCAATATTTCACCAGCTCCGGAGAAATGGCCGCAACTCTATCCTGCCTCTGGCGGAAAATGCCAATCTCCGATCGACATCAAGACGAGGGCTACGCACTTCGATGCAACGATGACACCTGTTTGCGTGAACTATGTACCGGAGGAAACGACTGTCGTCAACACTGGCTGGTCGTTCCAGATACCGTTCAAGGGGAAAGATTCGTGTAAGTGCAAGGTGAAACGAAACGCGGCGAAACCGGTTGCAGTTATATCAAAGTTACGTCAATATCAGTTTGCGTGTTCTCGGTGCAATCGACGAATCGAACTGAAATGCTATATAACATATTTCTCCGTGGCAAATTACACTTAAAGGACTTGCGCACCATCGATTAAATCCTACGCGAACAGGTAGCACTGAGAGTACATTCTGAGAGCGCGGCCACACACGCTATGGCTTGTCCTACGTGACTGCGCGGCCGTTAACCCTTTGAATGCGTGCACCGGTATAGTGACTAATGAATTGAGAAAAGCGGATCCTTTCTTAAATTGGTGTGCGTATTCTCGATGGTCGTACATTTTGAATCGTGTATATTGAATTTCTTCAAAATCCGCGATGTTTTATGACCGTCGAATATACACCTTGCGTGTTTTTTTTCACTCGTCGGGTAACCGCACGAAAAAGGACCGCCAAATTCATCTCGACAACGTAGCTTGTTCGTTCTGTGCCCCCCATAAAATACTACGTAAAAATCGAGCAAAACATGAAACTTCATGTTTCCTTCCTTGAAAACTTAATTGTTACATATTGCACAACGTGAAACTCCATGTTTCCTTCCTTGAAAACTTGTTACTCGTTGCACAACATGAAACTACATGTTTCCTTCCTTGGAAATTTGCACTTGTTACCACGGATGTTTGCCTCGTCATCGTTGAAATTTACCGTTGCATTTACGCGGTTGAAACGATACGCACCTCGTTTATCTAACAATGGCCGTTTGTCCTTGCTCGCTGAAGTAACTTAGTAACGCTGGGTCCGGTATACCGAACCGTACCCAGGGTACGCACCCTGGGGGACATAGACCCTATGAGCCTTAGTAACTGATGACAGTGCGCAAATATGATCATCGAGGTGAGGGTGATGACCCTAACTCTTTGCTATTATGCTCTTGCTATTATGTTTTACTCGTCAGTCTCACAAAGCCAACATAATGATCACGGCGACGTTTTAATTTGCTCCCGTAGTGAATCTACTTCCAGAAATTTCGATTCTGTTCACAGACATCAAGGGCGGTCCGCTCAACTACAAATACCAATTAGCACAACTACACTTTCACTGGGGCTCCAGCGCTTCATCCGGATCTGAACACACGGTGGACGGAAAGAGCTCTGCAGGCGAGGTATGTATAATATCAGGAGCGTATAATGACAAATTATACAAATTATACGCAAATTATACATTATACGCAAATTATACATTATACGCAAATTGACAAATTATACGCAAATTATACGCGTATTTGTCATTATACGCTCTTGATAATATTCACATGAAGCGCACCCCTACCAGATCACTATCAGAACCCTACGACTACCACTACAAGAACCCTACCACTACCAAAACCCTACCACTACGGCACTACTACTACCAGAACCCTACCACTACCAATACCAGAACCCTACCACTACCACTATCAGAACCCTACCACTACCACTACTAGAACCCTATCACTACCACTATCAGAACCCTACCACTACCACTACCAATACCAGAACCCTACCACTACCACTATCAGAACCCTACCACTACCACTACTAGAACCTTACCACTACCACTACAAGAACCCTACCACTACCACTACCACTACCAAAACCCTACCACTACTACTACCAGCGATGAAGATCACTAGCAGAGGGTATATATGCGATACTGGTACGGCGTCAGACGGTGAATGTGTGTTAACGGAGCTTCAGCTGGGTGCTGGCATGCGCCCTTTTGATTGAGAATGCGAATTTATAAAAACGGCTGTTTCAAGTTACAGCTGCAGCGTTACTGGTTGTTGTTGATGGAAGGCGCGACCATAGCGCTGCAGCTGTATAGTATCCGCCTTGTTCCGTGGCTATAAACTTCCGACAACTATCCTGTGCAGTGTGCAGGAGAAGATCGCTCACAGAAGTTGCAGCGCTTTAATACTAACTGACGTAAACACAGGCCAACTCGTGAATATAGAGCCATGAATGTGCAATTTCCTGTGCTTAAACTCCCATTTTCCTTTTGAACGTATTGGGATGTTGGTCCGTCTAGGTCTATTGACATTCGCGCTTCTCCTTCATGCCAGACAACTGAGAACGTTTTCAAACTGTAGTATAAAATTAATTGTATTCCGCGGGGACAAGTGTTAGTACGTGCGTGCAGCTGGTATATATAGCTGCGTTGCTATTGCTTAATTGCACTCACCAGTCCAGCAAATCCTCGCGTCGGTATTTTACCTGTAGCTGCACGTGTCCGTTATGGGGAAATTAACGCGTAATTAAGTAATCCGAAAAGCCGCATTGATCGAGCGCAATGCACCGAGCTCGCATCGGTGGCATCGCTACGCCACTGCCGACGTCACATGCACCGACGCGTGTCCAGTAGAATTATGGGCTCTTGTAGTATAGCAAGAACATAAGAACAGTGCTTCTGCGCAGCCGTCTATGTTAGAGCGACCCCTTCCTCCCCCATCCACCCCTCATCAATTATTTTATTGCGCGACGAGCAATCGACATTCCCGCGTATATCAACACACCTAGGAGTATGCTAGGATGCAGTATGGCGATGGTTTTCACGTGTAATTTGCACGCTGAGTGAACGTGCATTCGGTAAGATGTGTCCCGTCTGGCCGCTGGTGCGTACCGACGTGCGTACCGACGTGCGTATCGTTCACTCATTCGGGTGAGAAGGGACAAGCGGCGATCGACGCATAATTACGTACTCGCCTATACAAGTAACAACCGCAAGAGAATTCAACGGGAACAAAACTCATTGCGCGGTGATACCGTGTATAGCCGTATTGTCGGGGCTTCTGTGAAACAGACTTTCTGTGCCGACCAACGTCTGGTTTGATTTTCTTGAGGTTTCAGCAGGTAGTAATGCATTAGACAACAGGGTAGTAACAGTATAGCAGTAGCGGTAGCGGTAGCGGTAGCAGTAACTGTAGCAGTAGCGGTAGCGGTAGCAGTAGCAGTATCCGTAGCAGTAGCAGTATCCGTAGCAGTAGCATCATCATCATCATCAGTAGCATCAGTAGCAGTAGCTGTAGCAGTAACAGTAGCAGCATCAGCAGCAGCAGCATCAGCATCAGCATCAGCATCAGCATCAGCAGCAACAGCAGCAGTAGTGGAAGGAGACTGCGATATATTATCGATCCACTCAATTGTACTACATACAGACTAATTGCTATGATCTTACCACATCGATTAGGGCAATTAGGGTGATCCAAATGAGCCTACGTGACTATCCGACTGAGCTTTTATTGTCTCGTTGATTGAGCCCAAGTACCTTGCATCCCCACCAGCAGGGACTGAAAAGGCAATCGAATCACATATAACATTCGACGACTAATTTTGACGGCCAGCCGACTTCGATCTCGAGTTAGTTCGCGCGCGCGACATAGAGCTAAAATTCGCGGACATTCGTGCATGGCTCTCCATCCAACTAATAATAGGCTACGTATCGTATTAAAGAGGGATGGCGTATCCGTCATTAAATGTTTAAAATGCCCCTGATAGACGGCGGACGCGCCGATACGATCATGCCACATCGATGACGATTCCCTCTGACTCGGACCATGCGCCCTTTGCCTCGAGTCATATAACCGTCACCCCCAATACTTTCCCCGCGGCTGTCTCTAAAAGCGGCAATGAGTACGTATATCAGATGACGGCGCCTATTTCGCAGCGTGGACAGCCAGATGGGCTACGAGCCAATGTCGCATTGCGACTGCGCATGCTCATGAACCCCGTTTTGTTGACACGCCATATATATATATATATATATATATATAGATATATAATAGATCTCGGCTAACAATCACACGCTGTGATGCAATTATACTTATGAAGCCGACTATTTACCTTTAAAAGCAGCGTTTTTAGCTCGCCCAGACATCGTCAAGATGAGCTATTGCCATGGGGTGTCGTCCGTCGTACGTCCGTCCGTCCGGCAACATTTGGCTACGGTCAACGGTAACTCAAAAACCGTTTGACACACATGTTTCTAATTGCATATAGTTGTTACTCCTATGGGAGAGGGTTGAACGCCTTATTTTGGAGCACGCCAGTCGACCTACGTTCGAGCCACGTCCACTTTTTGGCAAAAATGGAAATGGCCATAAGTCAATTCAGGGTCAACGGATTTTGCTCATTTCTGGTATGTGAATGAATAAGGACTGGCCCCAAAACACATCACACGGGTTTTGATATATTTTTTTAAATTATGCAAATTAGGTAGATTTTAGCAATTTCACTATGCATTTCAGTGTCTGCCTACGGTCAACGATAACTCAAGAACCGTTTGATCCACATGTTTCAAATTCCATACAGTTGTTACTCCTATGGGAGAGATTTGAGCGTCCAATTTTGGAGCACGCCAGTCGACCTACTTTCGAGCCACGCCCACTTTTTGACAAAAATGAAAATGGCCATTTAGATTCATTCGATTTTGTTAAATTTTGGTAGATGAATGTGTAAGGCTAGCCCCAAAACAGTTGTTACTCCTATGGGAGAGATGACAACGTCCTATTACGTTTATTTCGGCTAACTGGTTAACAACTCTACAATCATACCTATATACGTGTAATATTGTGTTTTAGATTCTTCGTTACAGTAATTTGACTGGAATATTTTATTGTTTTTATTTGCGCGATATTCGAAAACCAAAATGGCGATCATTTAGGCGTAGCACCATCTCTCGTCAAGATTTCAGACTTTCAAATCTGAAACATTTATTTTCGCATCAAAACTTATGCATATATCATTATCAAGAGTATATAATGGGAGTTCTCTTCTGTCACACCCAAGGTGAGCTACAGTGTCATTGACATTTTACTTCTACTGAATACGAAGCAAAAACTACATAGCTTAATTACGTTTAGTTGTTACTTAGAACACGGGCTTTAATTGTGAAGCTGGGTAGGCCCGACACACCCACGCGGGCTGTGTCGAGATGACGACTGATTTACTTACTTCCAGCTTATCGTATTACTCCAGACGTTTATTAAAATATTCTTCCGGTAATGAAAGTTGTAATAATACCCGTGAGAGTATGACACACATGAAAGTAATAATAATACACGTGCCCCGCCCCCAAGCGGCCGACTGCTGCGTTAAAACAGATACCGTGTTATTTAAAGCCCGGCGCACACGTGAGTAAAATTACGCATGCGTCATTTTACTTGAGTAAAATAACTCACGTGTGCGCCGGGCTTTATTAAGCTATTTTATTCATAGGTGTTTACACAGTTTTACATTCAAATGCTAAGTTTGGTTAAACATTGGTTAACAAAATTTACGTCAATGTCAAAATGAAAATAAGCGAGTTAAGCAATTAAGGACATTATGAGTATGTTCGATAATTACATGCGTGGAAAACAGGTTACCTGAGGAATAATGTGCGCTTAGAAAGCTCATAATCATCTGATAAATAAATTTAATGAGCTAATAATGACTAATAAGCTCATTAATTACTGTTAGTATCTATGCATGCCGTTTTTATGGTAAGGAACACATCTGTCTTAATCGGCCGTATTTCACTTCATTTTTAGACGTACCTTGTTAGATGTTCCAATTACGTGTAACATATTGCTTTTCCCATACCTTTGAAAGCAGTATAGAATGTATTTTCTATGGCTGAAAAGTACCGTTTTTATATCAATTTAACCCACGAAGGCGAAGGCGAAACCTTTATGAAAAGACCAATATGCCGCGGCAAGCCAATGTCACAGCTGCTTATTATTAGCTTCAGTTCCACGACTAAACTTCGAAGTTAGATGTTAATTGGGTGCGTGACCGATCCTCGCGATCGTTGACATTCATTTGTAAACTGCGTGGACCGTGTGGACGTGTGATGAACTGACTAACCCCGCGCTAAGGTTAAAAAGGTCAATGTTTTTTTACGTGATTTTCTAATTGATTCGGCTATGTGCAGCGTCACAAATGCAGGAAGCTGCAGATGTGTTTGAGCGCCGTGGTGCTATCAAATCATTAACTGCAACGGTTCGTTAATACATTTCTATGTCAAAGTGTTGATATAGAAATATACTATATCCGCACTGTTGTAATGGAGATGTACGTGCCACAGTCGCATGTTAATATTCATTTCTCTGCTCACTGTCTCATCACATGTAGTATGGAAGTGAATCAGATCTAATGCTATATGCATATATATTGTAGATCTCTGATACACACACACACACACACACACACACACACACACACACACACACACACACACACACACACACACACACACACACACACACACACACAACACGCACGCCGACACGCATGCACAGACGCACGCACAGACGCACGCCACACACACGCACGCACGCACGCACGCACGCACGCACGCACGCACAACACTCACGCACGCACTGCGACGCACACACACACACACACACACACACACACCAAACACACACACACACCAACACACACACACGCGCGCGGCTGCGCCCACACACACACACACACACACACAACACGCACGCATACGTACGCAGCACAGACGCACGCCACACACAGCGCACGCACAGACGACGGCCAACACACACGCACGCACGCCACGCACGCACCACGCAGCGCAACCGCACGTTGCACGCACGACACACACACCCACACACACACACACACATATATATATAATAGGTAAGTAAGCGTTAATGTATATATGCTAGTGTAAATGTCGCGGCATGTGCTTCTGTTTTGCGTCCGTTGTTACTGTTATCCGAGTGAATGAAACAGCATATCCTCATACGTTAGACTGCATGCGGTTTACCGTATAACTAAAGAGCTTTATTATGGCTTCATGTATCCCAAAGCTAATCATACATTATTATTCGTTTTATTTATTGATATTAACTATTTATTATTTGTATGATTAGCTCTGTATGTACCTATTCAATTTACTTAAAAAAAACTTTTTCAGCTTCACATCGTGCACTGGAATTCTGATAGATATGGTTCGGTGAAGGAAGCTGCGCAGCATGCCGACGGGCTAGCCGTGCTTGGCTTCCTCATACGGGTAAGTCTATATCATAGGTCGCTAGAAGGAAACCAAGAGATAACATATTCCACACGTGTTTATTGAGAATGTTCGGGCATTACTTCCTGTTTTATGTTCATCTCATGGTACACGTTGATCGCATAGCCAAGGTCATATTTCAGGACGTAAATCTATACCTGGTCGGTCATAATATGAGGCTCATGCAATTCTGCCTAGCGCAATGCTTATCGCGATGATCAAATAGGTTTTTGTAATGTAGGCGTATTGCGCAAACAAAATGTCGCCGATTTTCGCCCCAATGGGCAAACACGCGTAGTGGGTTTAACGTCACGGGCAGCAGTTCTGGTAATCATGTCAGTTGATTATTGCAGGAGGCTTATGATATTCGTAATTACGGGCAATGTGGGACATAAATTAACTCCATACATATCATAGATGGTGAAAGCAGTATCGTTGCAGCGATAGATGTTTGATGATAATTGGCTATTGTTTAAAATTCCTGGTATACTTAACTTTATGTATGATCTTGAAGTTAAACGTGAACTTGCAACTTGATACAAATATTTTAATACCACAGCATCGGATTTTACCCATGGCAAACTCAATATTGCTACTTCATGTAGTCATAAACAGAATTTTTAATTAACTTGCTTAATGAGGCGTGCATACAATGTACTTTGGCGGGATATAGGAGGCAGTAATTATCCGGTCCTTCTCACTTCGCTCAAAAAACCTATACACATCAAAATCCAACCACAATTACGATGAAAAGCGACCTAACTCATAGTCAGACAAAATGATCAATTAGGAACTGCGATTATGGGCGTTGTTTCTCGGGAGTAAGTGTGTGTGTGTGCGTGCGTGCGTGCGTGCGTATGCACATATACGTGCGTGCGTGCGTGTGCACGTACACGTGCGTGCGTGCGTGCGTGCATGTGCACGTGTGCGTGCGTGTGTGTGCACGTACACGTGCGTGCGTGCGTGTGCACGTACACGTGCGTGCGTGCGTGCGTGTGTACGTACACGGGCGTGCGTGCGTGCGTGTGCACGTACACACGTGCGTGCGTGCGTGTGTACGTACACGGGCGTGCGTGCGTGCGTGTGCACGTACACACGTGCGTGCGTGCGCACGTACACACGTGCGTGCGTGCGTGTGCACGTACACGTGCGTGCGTGCGTGCGTGCATGTGCACGTGTGCGTGCGTGTGTGTGCACGTACACGTGCGTGCGTGCGTGTGCACGTACACGTGCGTGCGTGCGTGCGTGTGTACATACACGTGCGTGCGTGCGTGCGTGTGCACGTACACGTGCGTGCGTGCGTGCATGTGCACGTGTGCGTGCGTGTGTGTGCACGTACACGTGCGTGCGTGCGTGTGCACGTACACGTGCGTGCGTGCGTGCGTGTGTACATACACGTGCGTGCGTGCGTGGTGCACACGACATGCACGGCCACGTGCAGCATGCACGCATGCACGCACGCACGTGGTACGTGCACACGCACGCACGACGTGGTTGTGCACATGCACACAAGCACGCACGCCGGGCAACGTGTGCGTGCTTTCGAGTGTTGAACGCAATCATACAAACGAAAATGAGGACACTATCACACCCAGTGGATTTACACTGGAATTCATCAACATTTGCGTACGCAGGTGCTACGCTGCGTTGATGAATACGCAATACGAGCTTGCTGTGCGTACTTCGTAGAAACTCGGTGTAGCAATACACTTTACGCAACGTTGATGAATCCGGCCCCTGGACGTTACTACTCTCAACAATTTTGTGCTACTAATGTAATTGCTTGCTTAGTATTATATATGTATCTATATATATAGGCGCAAATAATTTTCGCGTAAAATGAGTTTGCTGAACAAACGAAACGTTAATTTTTAATAATGCAGCCATACTCATAGTATGTATATCTAAAATAGCCCCTTGTCGAGATAAAAAATCAATATTATACACGCACGAGCTATAAGCGCGCACGCACGCAGCGCACGACGCACGGCACGCCGCAGCACGCACGTACGACACACACACGCACCTCACACGCGCGCACACAACACCACACACAACACACACACACACTTCACACGCACGCTACAACACAACACACACACACACACACACACACACAACACACACACACACACACACACACACACACACACACTCACACGCACGCATACCCACACACACATGCACGCACGCACGCCCGCACGCACGCACGCACGCACACACGACACACACTTACTCCCGAGGAAACAACGCCATAATGTTCGCAGTTCAAGATGTCCTTTTTGTTGACTATGAGTTAGGTCGCTTTTCATCGTACATTGTGGTTGAGATTTTGATGTGTATAGGTGTTTTTGAGCGAAGTGAGGGAGGACCGGATATTATGCCTCCTATATCCGCCAAAGTACATTGTATGCAGCGCTCAGTTAAGCCAAGTTAATTAAAAATTCTGTTTATTGACTACATGAAGGTAGCAATATTGAGTTTGCATGGGTTAAAATCCGATGCTGTGGCTATTAAAATATTTTGATCAAGTTGCAAGTTCACGTTTATTTCAAGATCATACATAAACGTTAAGTATACAGGAATTTTAACAATAGCAAATTATCATCAAAATCTAGTCGCTGCCAACGATACTGCTTTCACAATCTATGTAATATGTATGGAGTTAAATTTATGTCCCACATTGCCGTAATGTGTACGAATATCATGGAAGGCTCCCCTGCTAATCACTGACATGATTACCAGAACTGCTGCCGGGACTTAAACCATACGCGTGTTTGCCATTGGGCGCAAAATCGGCGACATTTTGTTTGACGCAATACGCCTACATTACAAAAACCTATTGATCATCGACCGATAAGCATTTGCGCTAGGCAGAATTGCATGAGCCCTCGATATTATGAGCCGACCAGGTATAGATTTAGTCCTGATATGACTTGTGACTATTGCCGATCAACGTGTACCATGAGATGAACATAACAAGGAAGTAATGCCGAAACATTTTCAATAAACAGTTGGAATATGTCTATCTCGTTAGGTTTTCTTCTAGCGACCGTATGAGTATAGACTTACCGTATGAGGAAGCAAGCACGGCTAGCCCGTCGCATGCTGCGCAGCTTCCTTCACGATCCATATACTATCAGAATTCCATGCAACGATTTGTGAAAGCTGAAAAGTTTTTTTTAAAGCAAATTGAATAAGTACATCTAGAGCGAGATCTACAAATAATAAATAGTTATAATCAGATAAATAAAACGAATAATAATGTATGATTAGCTTTGGGATACATGAAGCCAATAATTGAAGCTCTTTCGTTATAGCGGTAAACCGCATGCAGTCTTAACGTAGATGAGGATATGCTGTTTCATTCCTCGTGAGTACGAGGGAGCAAAACAGAAGACATGCCGCGACAGTTTACCACTAGCATAGTATACATTAACGCTTACTACTTTTATATATTATATAATATTATATAATATATATATAGTATATGTGTGTGTGTGTGTGGGTTGTGTGTGTGTGTTGTGTGTGTTGCGTGCAACCGTGCGGTGCGTGCCAGTGGTGCGTGCGTGGCGTGCGTGACGTGTGTGTGGCCCGTGAGTCTGTGCGTGCGCGTGTGTGGCGTGCGCTGTGCTGGCGTACGTATGCGTGCGTGTTGTGTGTGTCGTGGTGTCGTGGTAAGTGGGCCCGCGCGCGCGCCGTGTCGCTCTCGTGCTGCTGTGTGTGTTTTGGTGTGTGCTGTGTGGGTGTGTGTGTGTGTGTGCGTGCCAGTGCGTGCGTGTGTGTGTGTGCGTTGCGTAGCGTGCCGTCGGCGTGCGTGTGTGCGTGTGTGTGGCCGTGCGTCTGTGCCGTGCGTCTGTGCATAGAACGTATTAAAAGCTGCAGACGCGTGTGCTGTGGGACTGTGTGTGTGTGTGCTGTGATGTAGGTGTGTGGTGTGTATCAGAATCTACAATGATATATGCATATAGCATGAGATCTGATTGCATTTCCATACTACATGTGATAGACAGTGCAGCAGAGAAATGAATACTTAACATGCGACTGTGGCCACGTACATTCTCCATATCAACAGTTGCGGACTGATAGTATATTTTCTATATCAACACTTTGACATAGAAAGGTATTAACGAACCGTTGCAGTGTAATGATTTTGATAGCACCACAGGCCGCTCAAAACATCATGCCAGCTTCCTGCATTGTGACGCATGCACATAGCGTCAATTAGAAAAGTCAGTTGTAAAAAAACATGACGCTATTTTAACCTTAGCGCCGGGGTTAGTCAGTTCATCCACACGTCACACGGTCCACGCAGTCTTTACAAATGAATTGTTCAACGATCGCCGAGAATCGGTCACGCACCCAATTAACATCTAACTTCGAAGTTTAGTCGTGCGAACTGAGCTAATAATAAGCAGCTGTGACATTGCTTGCGCGCTATTGGTCTTTCATATTTTTAAGAGTTTTCGCCTTCGCCTTCGCTGGCGTTAAATTGACTATTAAACGAGTATTTTCAGCCATAGGAAAATACATTCTATACTTGATTCAAAGGGTATGGGAAAAGCAATATGTTACACGTAATTGGAACATGCTAACAAGGTACGGTCTAAATATATGAAGTGAAGAATACGCCGATTTAAAGACAGATGTGTTCCTTACCATAAAAACGCGCATGCATAGTACTAACCAGTTAATTAATAGCCTTATTAGTCATTATTAGTCTCATTAATTTATTTATCGAGATGATTATTGAGCTTTCCTAAGCGCAGCATTATTCGCGTCGAGGTACCTGTCTTTCCACGCATGTAATTATAACATAACTCATAAGTGTTAATTGCTTAAACTCGCTTATTTTTCATTTTGACTTGACGTAAATTTGTGTTTAACCGAATGTTAACTCACGAACTTAGGCATGTTGAATGTAAAACTGTGTAAAGCACGCTATGAATAAAATAGCTTAATAAAGCCCGCGCACAGCGTGGAGTTAATTTTACCAAAGG